GCTCCTTGCAGTAATGAATTTGAGGCCTTAACCGCCTTAACCCCTCGCTCCTTCGCTAATGTTCACTGGCCTTGACCCTGCCTATGCAAAGGATTGAGAACAGGAGTCCCCAGCAAGGTTCCATTTATGTGGAGCTCTCATGTGGAACATGAATTTTTCTTGCAAGTCCAAGAGAAAATCTGAAGAGGCTGTTTTGACTTCAAGCTCAGCAAAGGCCGCTGTGCAACGCTGCGGGCCGTCTATTTTTCAGCACGCAGTGCTGGATTAGGGCCCACGAAAATCAAAGCAGAGCTTAGGCTTAACTAGATCCAAACCGACATGGTCAGACCACGCGACGGGGCCAATGAGACTTAAGATCATCAGTATAGGATCTTTGGCATCATTGTGCTCGTTTTATGTGAGAGAAGTGGCGTTCCTTACTCCAAGACGCCACCTTCAAAACAGAAACCTTGGCACACGTTCTTACAAAGGTTCGTCTTTTTCGCCATGTTCTTCTTTGGCCACTGGATTACACGCGAATGCTGGACTCCTGCCCCCTGGTTTGACAAAGCCTGCATCAATCAGGCCGATCCTCAGCAGCTTGGCAGCAATAGTAATCATAGTCATAATAAAGGTAATAAAGCTAGTACTAGTAGTAATAGTCATGATTATATGGTTTAGCATCTCGGGTTCTGGGCTCAGGGATTCTTGGCTTCCCGGGGTTTATGGCTTAGGGTTGTAGCCTGAAGATTGGTATTCACTTTAAGGGCGCACTTTAACAGCATCGCAAAAGGAAAATCTGAAGCAGCTCACGAAAAGTCAATCCATCTCAGGAGGTCTTGTAAGAGTTTGCGGCATCAATATTTGAGATAGGAATTGCAGTAGGAAGACTGACCGCAATCGTAATGGTAACAGTAATAGTAACCAAATCAGTACGAAACCCTGAGCCCTAAATCCTAATAGCACCAATAGCTTTCGACAAATTTGGTTCAACATCCTCCTAGAAGCGTTCTCACAGCTCACCATGGCCCTTGTGAAGTTGAAGCTCCACTTCGCTTTCCGGAAAGTCAGGTTTAGGACTTAGGGTTTAGGCTTTGGGGTTATGTCTTCTTGAGAAATTTCAGAGTTTACAGATCATGGCCACGGGCAAATCGCAGGGGCTGGGTTGACCTTGGTAGTCATCGTTTACACTGACTGATGATGCAAAGCGCATTTCTGAATTCGGCGACCCTACTTACAGCCCTTGTCTACTGGGCAACGGTACCCAAGTTGAAAACAATGAAGACTTCAGGAGAGAAGATGTTTGCCGTGCTTTTGCATCAAGCCTTTTTCTGGTAGTTGAGCCATTAGGGTTACGCACGCAAGCAAGGGTTCATCGAACAAGCGAGCATGTGTAAAGCAGATTCCGATACGACGGCAGCCCACGGTCATGACGTTAGTATATTCTAGGGCTGCAAATTTCAGAAATCAGGACCAAACGTAGCAGCAATGACAAATACTCCTGTGATGTTCGCGGAACCCGTCCCAGGTGTAAACATGGTACTAGCAGAAAATGTTGTAGCTTGTCAAGATGAAGTAGCCAAGGGTTGCTGGCTACACATCTAGGTGGGTTTAGGGTTTAGGGTTTAGGGTTTAGGGTTTCCACGTGTTGGTTTCCGGGTGCCCGCCAAGCAGTCAGACGAGGGCACCTTTTGTTTCCTCTGTTGTTGGGTGGCAGTAGCGATTTCCTTTCAAATTTACAGGCTGCATGGTATGGATCCTGATATCATTGGCAAAGGATCCAAGATAGCTAACTTGCTGAGCCCTTGCATCCACCCCGATGCCCATGACCAGAGTCTTGTTGCATCTTTGTTAAAAAGCACGGAGCGTGAGCCCTCACAGCGAAAAACAAGACTACCCAAAACCCTAAACCAGCGGCAGTCTAGGCAGCAGGAGGAAGTCATTGCAGCTATTCCTGAGTTCCTCGGTAAAGGTTCAAGGCGGAGGGTTCAGGGTTCAGGGCTTAGGGGGTTGAGGTTTTAGTTTTTTTTCTGAAGACTAAAATGGATAGCTCCATAGATACGCATCACATGAGGTATATGGGGGTCGTTCAAGGATTATGGTGGGACCTTCCACCATTGTCTAGAGTGTTTCGGCTGGTTTGTGTTTTGTGTCCCAAAATGGTCGGCCGCATTTTGTTGGCTTCATTGAATTCCTCTCGCCTTCCATAAGGAAGATGTGAAATCCCATGCAGATTCGGCCTTCAAAGGAGAGACCCTAAACCCTGAACCCTATACAACCCCTATAATCCCCTGCATAACCTAAATTCCAAGCTCTAGTCAAGCCCTAAACCTTTGGAAGCTCGAGCCTAGGATCGTGAGGCGCTCGGAATGCTTGCTCGTTTTGTTAGACGAGACGCACCTGGGAAGACCCCTTCTGAACGTTTTTCTTTTTTGGGTTGACGGCCGCGGCGACTACAGTAGGGATAAGGGGGAGGACGCGGGAAAAAGCAAGATGCGGGTGGAACGATGTCCTCCTCAAGCCAGCAGCGCTGAAGCCCTACATTTTGCAGGCTTATTTGTTGTGCATCCGTGTGCTAAAGCATCTGTGGTTTGTGGCGCTAAAGCGCGCATGCACGGCCAACGCATGTAGCGAATCTGATGTAAAACTCAGTGTATGACACGCCAAATCGGGGTGCACGCGCTCTCAAACCCTTTGAACCCAGCCGGCTCCGACATCACTCGCTTCAAGACGCATGTTCTGAAGGGCTGCGGAGACCAGGTGAGCTACTAGCTTGAATTAAGGCGAGCAAGATCAGGGAAGGGCCGCAGACCATCAACACCTCCCAAGCCCAAGCCTCAGCCCCACCGCTTGCCCCCAAAGCTCCACCTCCGCATGCCAGCCCGATCACCACCTGCCACCACAGCCAACATCCGCAACAGCCCCGGCACTATTACAAGCAACAGGGACAGCGCGGCAGCAGCAACATCAACAGCAACAGCGTTTGCAGCAGCCAGAGAATCAATAGATGAACAGACTTAAAAAACACGAAGCCAGCACTTGTTTCGAGACTACCGGCAGCGATAAAACGAGACTCAAATTTGAGGAGGCGAAGGGTGAGGAGGTGGAGACGGCGACACAACTTGATCAGCATCACTGTGGTTTCAAAGCAGAATTTGCAATAGACAGCCGGCAGCGCAAGCAAAACACAACGAAACAGAAGGAAGAAGAGGAAGAAGAAGAAGAAGTTGACAAAGACAAACACTGTGAGCAGCACAAGAGGTTCACTGCATCAGACCAGCCACGACCACAGTCAAGGGAGCAAGTAGGCCACGATATTTTGAGGCATACGCACGCAACCAGGTATTTGAATCGATTGTGGTGCAATTTAGAGCTTGCCACCTTCGCGAAGAGCCACTCTAGCCCGGACGCGCTTCACATCGTGCCCCTATGGCTTCCGACCTGGCCCACTGCTTGTACTCAGGAACCTTTTTTCTTTTTTCAAGATGGTTAGCCGCCAAGGTTGGTGTCTCTGTAGGATAGACATGCAAGCTAGTTTTTTGCACGGTCCCTGGGGCAGCAGCCCCAGTTAAATCATTTCTGTGAAATAAGTGTTGAACCTTGTTCAACATTCTGCATGCAGCTCAAGATTGCAGATAGCTGCGAATGGACGAAGTGCGTGAGGGGTACCTTTCTCAAAGATATTACTTGTTAGCCATGCACCCTCTACGGCTGCCACTCACATTACAAGAGTCTCTGAGGTTAGTATGCAGCTTGCTGTGCGAGTGGTTGGTAGCGCGGCTGTCGATTTTTGCCTGGCTGCAATCTATTGCACTGTCGAGAGGACTCCGGGTCTTTGTCAAAAATCCTCAATCGAAGAATAACCCTGATATAGGGATAATGGAAAAGAAAATGGAAACTACCATATTATAATAGGGGTTATATAGGGATAATAGAAAAGAACATGGAAACTACTATATAATAGTAGGGGTTACATAGGGATAATGGAAAAGAAAATGGAAACTACCATATTATAATACGGGTTATATAGGGGTAATGGAAAAGAAAATGGAAACTACTATATTATAATAGGGGTCATATAGGGATAATGGAAAAGAAAATGGAAACTACTAGATTACCCGTTTTTCATATACTCCGAATCTCACTATGCCAAGTTAGCATACTGAGAACGTTTACTCTGAGGCTGGAAAGGGTCGTATTGTTTGCAGAAAGACTATGCAAGTTATGAGGGTTGCGAGTATTCAAGATGTACTTTTCGCTCAAGCCTTTGGGTTTTCTTCAATGCGAGCGAGCATCAGCGAAAATCTGCAAGGACTCGGATACACACCAAAGTCCCTCCTGGAGTTCATCCTGACCGGCGTGCTCGTTGCCGTTCTGATGGCCGTGGGGCACGCCCCATCAGCCCTTGTTGCCGCATTCTCTTTCACCGCCAGGATCGAGCAGCTTGCCTCGCAAGTTGAACTTGTGTTGCGTTGTTTGGTGTGACATCGCCTTTTTTGCAGCAATTCCAGGTAGAAGGGCGGCAAGCGTCCGAGCGTGATTCTGGCTTGTCCCTGCTGGGCCGTTCCCGTTGGTTGGTGAAACGGGTTCTAGTTTATGCTCATGATCTTGGGCCTCTACGCAGGTAGGCTAAAGCAGGTTCCAGCTGATGCTCATGATGCCGGGCCCTTCTGATGTTCGGTCAAAGCACTTTCAAGCTGATGTTGATGATGCTGGTTCGTGCTGCTGTTGGGTGTGAGCACTTCCCAGCTGCTGCTCATGATGCTGCTGGTTGCCCAAAACGGTTTCCAGCTGATGCTCATGGTGCTGGGGCCGATCTGCTGGTTGGCCCAAAGGGTCTCCAGTCTAGTAATTAGTGGCAGAAGTCATGCGGCCCAACCGAAATACCCGTAATTATGGGAAACCCTAAATCCTATATAATCCCTATATAACCCCTATATAAGCCCTATATAACCCCTATATAAGCCCTATATAACCCCATATAACTTCTATAACCTAAACCTCGGAAGTAGTTCGTTCAGGCAATGCGACAAGATGTTGGAGCAGTTTGCCAGTTTCGATGTTCGACGCTCCCAGCGCCTGGGTTCCTGTTTGGGCGATTCAGGCTTTAGGGTTCAGGGCTCAGCGTTCAGCAATTTCGGCTCCTGCCTGGGGATTTCCCACCAAGTGGTATAGAGGCCTTTATCTATAAGACTCCCAAGAAGTGGGGACCAACCCACCGGGGTTCATGACTGAATAGTGGTAAGCAGGGATTGACTCCGTGAATATATCATATAGCGTTTAGATAGGGAGTGTATTCCCTTATTCACTACTAACCACCAGTAGGACTAGGGGTAATTTGGGGATGATGCTCAAACCGTTCTGCGACAGCCAGGTTATTAAACCCTAGTCCGAGCACTGGAACAATGTATTTCGTTCCCCCCCCCCGAGAATAATGAAGTTTTAGTAAAAACTGAATAGGAATGTGTTGAACCCCGATTAAAACGCAGCATGATTCCTCTACCTTTTCTCCATACGAAAAGCCACCTAATTGTAGCTAGTCTTTGGAGCCTAATTCTACCCCAAAAATGTTCTTCAAATATGGTCCCCTTTATTGTTCCAGATTACACCCTTAACCCGTGATAGATAGGCCCTAAACCCTAACCCTAAACCCTAAACTAAACCCTGACCCTAAACCCTCGACAACCCTAAACCAGGGTTTAGGGTAGGCTACCATGAAGTCGGCACTGCAATGGACCGAGGTGTGGGGTGGCAGCAGAGCGCCCCAAGCTGCATTGCCAGATTGCCCGTCTGTTTGACGAAACTCGGTTTAGGGGTTATGTTGGGTTATATGGGGGCTTAGGGTTCAGGGTTTAGGGGTGATATTGGGTTATATGGGGACAATGGAAAATAGAAATTGCTATAAAGGATTTCCTCAGCTTCGGCTGAAGCAGGTTCAATCCCCCCGGGAATATCATTACAAACATGCCTTAGGCGTATGGGGCCAGACATTTGATGTCCGGGTGTAGATGTTTGTCATCGTTTGTGTGGAATCAGGTATGTTGTACGGGCTCTAGACTAGAGGTGAAGAGTTTGTGGAAGGACACTGCTATTTTCCGGGTGTAGGCTGTTGAGAGGGATTGGGGGCTCAGGTATACACCAACATCCATAATCACTACTCAGGACGTTTTGAGATTTGTCGGGATTATTAGCCGACAGTGCTGGAAGGCTGTTGCCGAAGGCAGATTGCGAGTATGAGGATGTTTGCAAAGCTAAGTTGCGCATACTTGAAAGATCTTGAAAGGAAGGCTTCAACCAAAAATCTTTCGTTACTGGTGGTTTGCAATACTTATACAGTCCCTGCATCCCTATATAATACATTCCCTTATTTCCTACTAATCCGCAAGAAGTTTCTGGGTGAGTCGCGTCGTATGAACTAAGGAGATCGATGACCCGCTAATCAGTGTTGCCATAGAGGTATTCCAGGAGGACACTGACACGGAGGACAGCCTCACGCCTTTGTTGGAGACAGAAAAGGAATCTGAGGAATTAACTTCTCCGAGAGCCCAGTATTCGTCAGCTTACAAGCTATCCCTCTGACGAGGAGTGCTTGAATCTCTTCAATGCTTATGTTAGACAAGAGCTATGTGCCAAAGTCACCAGAGATGCAGGTGGCAAAGCCAACCTGCGATTTGGTGTGGCGCTTTTGGTCTTTCTTCCGGCCATCTTCTGGTTGGTGACCTTTGAGTACTTGCAGTGTGAACGTGCAGGCTGCGATGCCATTGCGCAGGCCTATGGCGCGGATTCTTTTGGGAAGTACATCTTATTCGGCGTGCCTTGGCTGGTGCTGTTCCTCGGCATGGTATCTCCGCTGACCCTGCCTGCAATGCTTCATGCGCTGACCTTTCTGCACCGCTGTCAAATCCCCCGGCCTTGCAGAGTCGTGCTTGCAATGCTCATCGGTCCACTCGTCGACATTTTTGTGTTTCTCATTGGTGGATGCGTGTATGGCTTCATCTCCTCTTTTTGCCTAGAGTTTTCCAGTGTCCGGCTTGTGCAGACCCTGCTTGTTGTACTTTGTTTCACTCTTGCTTGGGGTAGGACTTTCTTTGAATGTCAGTGCCAGGGAAAGTGGGCCACCACGCTGTTCTCACGTGTCCCATGGCGTGGCTAAAGGATGGCAGCATCGTTTTCCATGACTTCAAGCGCTAACTCTCTAACTCCTATCCCCTAACCCTTAGCCCGCAGCACACTTTGAAAAGCCGCGGAGTCGCATTTTGCACTTGCTTGCCCTCAGCACGGGAACGTAAAACGTGTCCCACTGCTGCTCAATTCATCCCAGCCCCAAGGGCCGCCCAATTTTGGGCTGACAGCTTCCGTGAGCAAAACATGAAATTCCATAAGCGCAGTTCATGCGGTTCATTTGAAAGCGCCCAACCAACAAATTCTAAAATGATTGCTCGCCCTAAAACCTACGAGCTGGCATTGGAGAAGGCCCCATGCAGTGACTGGGTGACAAGTCACATGCTGGATTGGGAAGCAGGAACAGGAAACGGAAGACTGGGACTTTGAGTTTGGTGTTCTGCTGCCTCTTGAGAGCTTTGGCCGGATAATGTGAACATCAAATTTCCTGAAGCACCGAGCTGCTATTGCATCCAGCACCCTACCTCTGACTATGGAGTTCAAATAGCCTGAGATCTCGCAGCACCTAACAGCCCTAAGTTACTGCAACCATTGAGGTTTGGGATACGAAGGGTGGTATAGGATTTCTTCCCTCTGACATTTGAGTAAGACTCCAGTTCGGGATGCACAGTGTCACCTACAGCTGGGAAGTTGAAATTTGACATGAGGGGACATCGCATTAGCTTCATGTACCCTTTCACCCTCCTCCTGTGAGGCTTAGATATGATATGAATACCCACTTTTGAGATTGAGTATGTTGAGACTCAAAGATTTCATGGCTGTTGGGGGGTTGGAAGGCGCTTGCTTCCGAATCTGGGGAGGCTGACCGTTTAGGGTCAACTGCTTCGAAGCGTTGAATGGGAGCTTTAGGGAGTTTAGACTATAGCTCATAACCCTATAAACCTCTACATAATGGCAGTTTCCAATTCGTTTTCCATTATCTTTTCCAGTTGATTCTCCATTATTGGGGTCATATTCCTGATATTTCGCGAAATCAGCTGCATCCATCATCCTCGACAAGTCCGCCTCATTTCCTGCCATCCCCATGAGGACTAAGATGAGCTATAGTCTAAATTCTTTAAATGTGGTTATATAGGGGATTGTATAGGGGACTACTACAGGGGTTCTTAGGGGGGATACTAGGAGTTTAGACAATGGTTCAGATGAAGAAGGGTTTCAAGGTTTTTGACATTGCGCGTCACGAAGTTTCATTGACCCCAGGCCCCTGAACTATGCTGTCCCACCTTGTTTGTGCAAGGGGCCACCGAGCCAAGTGCTCGGCATGTCTATGTGAGATATAGTCCAAACTTCTTAAGAGGGTTTTGTAGGGGATTACATAGGGGAGTATTATAGTGACTATTAAGGGGGATGCTAGGAGTTTACACTACAGCTCATATGCCATCCGTCGCTGTGCAGCTTAAATTTTCAAATGGCCAAAGGCTTAGTAGCGCAAGTAAGATGCCTCCTTGGCGCATGTGAGTTTTGATAGGCATGCTGTTGGGGAGACAGAGCTTGACAATGGTCATCTCAGATAGATTTCTTGAAATTGTCCCGACTCATGAGTTTCTGAAAACGTTTAGGGTACTTAGGGTTTAGGCTTTATCGGGGCAACGTTAGGGAATCTATTGGGATAATATAGGGATAATGGAAAAGAAAATGGAAACTACCTAGGTTGAAGTAGTGAAGGACTCTAGTTCTGTCCAGTCAGAACCTCTACTTCTGTTCGGTGGCTTTCAATGATTGGAATGTATTTTCAATAGGTCAGCTAGCTCTTTGCTTTGTCCGGACAAGGAGTGCCCTTACAGCCGGACCCCCACCCATGTAGAGCGAATTTAAGCCGGCCATGAGGTCCGATGTGGCAACGTCAGTACCGTGGCCACGCTGCTGCAGCTGGGGGCCATTCCGTCTGAGGCGTGAGCCCAAAAGAGGGCAGAAGGGTAGCCAATACAGTTGCGACAACTGTATATATTGGGGTTATGTGGGGATCATGGAATATATTCCAACCCATTGGGGTAAAAAAACATAGTAATAATAATGGAGAATCGAATGGAAAATAACATGGAACATGAAATGGAAACTGCTATGTAGGGTTTAGGGTTTGTATTGGGGATTTGTTAGTTTCTTGCAACCATCAGCAGTACAGCCGTATCCGCCAACCCTACACCCCAACCGCCGAAACTGGTTTAGGGTTTAGGTTGGGTACTGCCCCCACCCAGTAACAGTCTATATTAGGGGTCCATTTAAGGGCTATATATAACCATATTATAATTATTACCCGACTGTTACTGAGGGGGGGCAGTATCTAAGGTTTAGGGCTTAGGGTTTAGGCAAAATCGCGGACAAAAGCACAAGTGCCTTGGGACCTGCAGGCGGCTTTGCGAGAGCTCGTCAAGCAGCTAGGCCGTTGAAGTATGAGTCATGCAAGGTGTAGGATTTTGAAGGATCGAACTAGAGCTTGAGGGATTTTATTGGGAGAAGGCTCAGTTCATAGCCCAGGTGTAGTTTTTCATGCTGCCAAGTAGCCTTCTTGGCTTGAAGTAGAGATGTTATTTAGGCTTTAGGGTTTAAGGTTTAGGGCTTCACACCCAGGAGTCGAGGCATCACGGCAGTGTTTCCTCTTACCGTGCTTTGGATTGCTGTGGTTCAATGCCCCCAAGGGTGCTGATGTTTCGTCGTTACCGAGCTTGAAATACTTTGGTAAGTCGTAGAATCCCGAGAAGAGCCCCAGACATCCCTTCAGCGAACCAGAAACCACTATTCAGGTCGTGTAGCGGTGTTGGGGATTGTTCAGGTGGATAGGGTTCTATCATTCAAGTTTATTTGGTAGCTTCGATGACTAGGTAGCTTGAATATGGACCTCAGAATTTTGTAAAAACATCATCCTTATTCTCGGGACTTTCCAAAACAGAGGCTTCTAATTTTTGGGAACCTCCTTTTTAGGGATGCCCGGCCGGGCTTGAAAAGACTGTGGAGCTTTGGTCTCTAATCGCCTCCACCTGGACGTGCAAGGAGTCAGGTACCGCCAGCTTCGACTTTGAGATTTGGAGGAGGTTCCCGCCATGGAAATTGAGAGGAGCGCGCAAACTGATAGTGCTAAGAAGCTTCTCATAGCTTCAGTCATGAATCACTAGGCTTGCAAGCCCTGAACCCTAAACGTTAGGCCCCTCAACCCTTAGACCCTGAAAAGGCCAATGCCTAGTAACTTAAGTCCAACCCATGAACCCCAAACCGCCAAAATCCTTTACAAAAGCCCGTGAACTCTGACAGCCAGCCTTCTAACTCTGAGTCCCTCGCAAGCCAAGGCTACCGTCACCATCATTGAGGCGACAGATGGAGGACCCCGCTCCCACGAAACTCTGCTGGCTGTTAGTGGGGCGCAACGGACTTTGAAAAGAACATTAGAACTACTCCACTCTTTCGGATTGCGTAGGTCCGGTCCGCTCTACTAAGAAGATGGAGTGTTGAAGACCATCAAGTAGGATTTCATTGCACGCTTTCGGTGAGAGTACATGTAACTTAGGATGCCTTGCAGGTTTTAGTGAGTTTGTACATGGGCGCCCGTTTGCAGAGACCCGGATGAACCCCCCAGGTCCACTTCAGTAGGAGATGTTTCGAATCACAGGGCAGTCGTGGGGTTTGCACCAGGGGTCTTGCATATACCGGCAAGTTTATTCAATCCACGTTCACGTGACGATATAATGTCAGGAAGGGGTTCCGGCCATCAGATCATCATGCTGAACCCCTTTACTTCAAAGCCCTACCTTGATGTGATCTAGACTAGACTCTTCAAGCTGTAAGCCCTACTAAATCCCACATCCTAAACCTTATCACCTAACCCTAAACCCAGCGCACTTTGTTCTGCCTTGGCCTTGCTTCGTGTCGCTCGGTAGTCTGGAGGAAAGCTTTCCAGATCCAAAGCGCTTGCCCCAAACTTCCCGTGTAAGGTTTATGGTTTAGGGCTTAGGCACGTTACAAGTCATTATTTCGTTCTTCGAAAGGGTGTCTAATATGGGCTTTCATGTTTGCTTGAGAAGGGTAGAACCGTAAGCCCTCCACAACGACTAAAGTTGCTGCTCCAACGGCTCAAACTACAAGCCCTCAACCCTAAACCTGGGCGCGTCTGGAAATGGCGACGGGAGGGTCTGCCGAAATGGCGACGGGAGGGTCTAGAAGAGGAGTTTAAGGCAATTTAGAGACTGAAATGGCAAGTCCTGAAATGGCGAGTCCCGAAGTGGCGACGGGAGTTTCAAGGCAATTTACAGGTGCCGAGTCGCGAAATGGCGACGGGAGGGTCTGGGCGAAACTCCTAGGATTTGTTGCTATGCGGCAGAAACCCTTCAGCTTCAACCATTTAGCACGTTGAGCAACAGCACCTGAACCCCAACTTGAGGGATGTTTTGATCCATCCCAAGAGCACT